GATTACAAATCACCCTACTCACACTAAATGAACAAAATTATTATAAGGATAAGGAATCCAAGTCTAATGGACAATTCAATTCAATAATTATATACATAGTGACTCAAAAATCCACTGAATGCCATGAGACCTATGTCCAGGTTAGGCAGTCAATGTCTTGTCAGAGATTTTGCTCCTTTTTCCCTTCAACAAGAATTTTTTAAAAGGACCATCTGGAAGGATCAGACTCGCAGATTGTTTAACATAGACCCAGTTCTTTACAGATGGCTGGAGGATGGAAAGTCATAGCTCATAATAATAACAATACCCAGAGCACCAGGACTGCAATTTGGATGGATGTTCAGGAAAACAGCAGCATCCAAGGCTCCTACAGTGTGAAAGATCTGGAGTTCATTTTGGCACATGTTTCTACCAAACACAATGTTTTGATTTTGCAATCCAGTTAGCACTCAGCTCTGCAGGTGCAACAAGCAAATTGGATTGTTTTTAGGAGCCCATTCACTGGGAGATCAGAAATATGGGCCTTGCTGCCTTCTCAAATGAAGTTGCAAGTTTGCATCACCAATGTCTACTGCTGAAGCTGGACATTTTTCAACAGCTGTGGCCAAAAAATGTACACTGGGGAACACTTCAGTTTTCATAAAGGACTACGAAGAACCAAGATCGTGCTGTTCTCCATTCACAGTAACTGAATGATGTTAGAGAAATGGAGTAAAGATATTTGGATTATGAACTTACTTTCAATGATTATTCAGCCTTTTGCTGAGTATTTCCAAAACAGCATAGCATGTTTTAGAAAGCTTACTTTTTCTAGTATGACAGACCGACCTGAGCTGCAATATATTTTCTTTCAGGACAGGGAAGACCTCCAAACAATAAGTGCTAGGAACAGCTAAGATACTGTGCAGAACCATCACATTCCCAGGCCTCTGGTAGAGGACCTGACATTAAGGAACATACATACCACCCAAAGAAGACGCGAATAAGGTATATGTTAGAATATTCATGATTGGGAGAAACATAGTAACAAGGTCAGCCAATGACTAGGCATAGCAACTAAGTCAGCCAA